ATATCGCTCCCGCAGAAGAGGCGGCCCCTACAGTTGAAGAGAAACGAAAGCGACGTCATAGGGATGTGCATGACGATGATGGAACTGCGAGGTCGAAAAAGAAGAAAAAGGACATTGTTGCAGAAGATACCTAGGCGCAATGGACTCGTCACACCGTTCGTGCGCATATCGTGAACGCAATGCTACTCACAGAATATTTGATGCACGTTGCGTATATAAGACATCCTACTGCCAATATTATGTTTGACCCATGATGCATTACTAGCGTTACGCCAAAATACGATAAAAATCACTCAGTACAAGCACTGAATCGAATCGGCAAGTGTCAAACAAAAGCACGATCAAGTAGGAACATCCCCCTGCAGCCTAAAGTCCCTACTGCTCGCACCGATAGAGAACGAGATCTGACCGTCAGGCTTGCGCCACCCCTGAGCGACGACGTCCCAGATAGACAGGTCATAGCGAGAAAGCGTGATCGAGGCTTGTTCTGTGCTTGACGGCGAGATTTCGACGTTTGTGAAGCCCTTTAGGACTGATGGAGGCTCGCTAGCGGAAGACGGGAAGTGAATGTAAAGCTGAGGAATCTATTCGTGTAACTTTGGCGTAAGCATTGGATAATGAAGCTAATGGGTGTCACGAACCTCCATTCCAGATACAGGTCCAGTGTTCGTGACCTTGAAAGTTACCTGGAATGCAGGCTCATGGAGCCTGGTAAGTAGCGATATCAGCTTGCAAATCCATCACTGGTCTTAATGAATCTCACCAAAGCGCAGTAGAAGACCCTTCAGCGATGGGCGAAGCCTCCCCATTCTGCCAAGCAGTGATCAAATCCGCCTGATTAGTATCCGAGGACTGAATCGGAGTCACGGAAAGCTCAGAGTACGTGAACGTGGTGTAACTCAAGCCGAAGCCAAACTCGAAGCGCGGCGTGATGTTTGCCTGCATTTACCCTTGTTCAAGACGTGAAATCACCAAGTCAAGTCAGGAAACTCACTTGATCAAAGTGGCGATAATCGATGAACAACCTGCGAAGTGAAATCAATATCAATGCGTGACCTTTGTTTAGTTGACATACCCCTCCGTGTAATCAATAGTAACAATCTCGCTTCCCGAATCATCAGTGATGAGTTGTGCGGGATAATCGGCAATATCCTTGGCAATCGTATACGGAAGTCTTCCAGAGGGGTTGTATGCGCCATAAAGCACGTCAGCGATAGCATTGCCTGCCTCCTGACCTTGGATGCCGGCCCAGACGACAGCAGTGATGTTAGGGTGCTCGATCCAAGGCTCTATAATGAGCGGCCCGACACTGTTCACGACGACAATCGTATTGTTGTTCTGCGCAGCGACAGCAAGGATAAGGTCGTCACCATTGTGCCAAGCAGTGAGGTTGTTGCTGGCTGGAAATGAACAAAGCCATTACTTAAATATATGCGAGGGACGTACCGATCTCCCTGGTTGCCATCGACAGTAATGTAATCCTCGCCAGAGTCGGAGTTGGTGAAAACGAGAGCGACGGCCTCGCCATACGCCATATTACCAGCCAGAGCGGTGTTCCAGTCGTCAAAGTCCCAGAACACGCTGCTGCCGTCCTGGCGAGCACGTTCCTGGATACCCTCTAGAGGCGAGATAAGGTAAGGGAAGTTACCAGTCCTATGTATCGTCAGTCAATTTTCAGGAAGAATACGAGAGAGAACACATACCCAGATCCCCAGCCCATGGCCAAAATCCCATCGCTTCCACCTTGATCTGAAAACTCGTTCGGGCCGGATTTGCCTGGACCCGCATCGCTTCCGATCAATACCAAGTTCCTTGGCTTGTTCAATGGCAGCGTGCAGTTCTCATTTTTCAAAAGGACCGTTCCAGCTGCGCCAATCTCCCTCACAAGAGTATAGTGATCAGCCTGCACGTTCACATGCTGGTTGGTCGCTTCGTCGTTCGGATTAAACGCGTTGAAGTTCGTTACAGGGTAGTTCTCGTCCTGGTGAAGGAAGTACCAAGCAGCGATGATACGCGTTGCCATGTCGTCCAGGCGAGCCATGCTGATGTAGCCGTCGTTCACATAGTCCGTGAGGTTGCCACCGAAGTAAGAATCACCAGAGTCAAAGGTGATATCGCCGGGCATAGTCATGTCGAGCCCTGCAACAGCAGACAATGTCGACATCGTCGCCGACCAGTCAGATTGGACGAAGCCTTGAAAACCGTACTCCCGCTTCAGGATATCATTAAGCATCTTGTCGTTGTTGCATGCGTAGGTTTCGTTGATGAGATCTGCAATTCGGATCTCAAATGATGTGAATGATATATGTAGAACGTGATTGAAGCTTACTGTAACTGCACATGACGGATGAAACACCAGCCATGACGCTGCGCAAGAACGGGTGCGCGTAAATCTCATGTTGAGTGCGGTCATCAACATTTGAAGATTCTGATGTGCGGAAGTGCTCCTGCTCACTAGAATGACAGATGAGTGCAAATGCAAATGAACATAATAGAAGACAAACTTATTGATGAAGTGCTTGGCGGTGGCTTGTACTCCGGCGTTTTGCAAGCCCAGAATTGTCTCATATGCGGATTCGCCGGTCAGGAAAGGGTCTGCACCGAAGCCCTCCCAGTTACGGCCGCCTTGGGCGACGCGACCCATATTCATCATGGGACCAAGGGCAATGTTGATGCCCTTGCCCTTGAACTCCTGACCCAAAGCCAGGCCACGAGCACGCATTAGAGGGCGATTCCAACTGTGATAGATATTATGGTAGATATCAGACAGGTTATATCGGTGAACTTGGAGATGACTTACGTGGACGCTACCTGAATGCCGGCTGGGAACGCAGTTGCGTAGTCGGCAAAACGAACAGCGAGAGGCGAGTCCTAGCGAATTGTGAGACAGATACCTCATCAATTCAACTTACGCACCTCAAGGCATAAACCGGGGAAGTTTTTATTGGGTGGGATGTTGCCAACGCACAACCCATTCGCCCAACCGACACCCGTGGTGATGTTGACTTTTTCCTCGATGGTATAATCGAATATCTGAGTATCAAAGATGTTCAGCACGTGTCGACATAGAAATAGATTCCCAGCAAAGACAATCAAAAGAATGATTAAAATGAATGCACTCACAAGGTTCTTGGCTTTTTGGTAGGCAGTAGCCCAAGCAGGTGCAAAATCGGGCACGACTTGAGGATCGCTGCTAACGGAAGGAGGGCTCAAAGGATCAGTTGCAGGATAAACTGGGGGGAGAGGGCTGAGAGTAGGTGTAGGATAGGGAGTGAACGAATAGCTAGAGAGCGGAACGGTGATAACACCGGTTGTGGACGCGCCTAAGGTACTGGCGGAAGCAGAAGATATCGTGGAGCTTGCAGCAGTTGATGAATAATTGTATGAGGTTGTCACCAGTGAATATGGACCAGATACCGTAGTGCTAACATTACCAGCCGAAGCAGACGGCGTTGCAGCAGACGGAGTCAAGGTCGGTGCACCTAGAACGAATGGAATTATACATGACAGCAACAGCTTGGACAGCATGGCGGCTGCACGCGTAAATTTCTGGGGGAGAATAAGATAAAAAGATGGAAGAACGACCAAAGATCATTAGGTTAATTTTATGAGCGAACCGAAGCTTTTGTACGTGGTTCGAGCCGAACACGAGCCCGGCCGCGTGGAAACCCATAGCCGCTTCTTACTGCCAGCGCGCACTACAGTTGAAGCCGCCAGGATTAGAATTATATAGAAGCGAGTCAAGTTGAGATATTTGAAATGCATGCGTGAACAGACCGGCCGTAGCCACGGCGTCACTGCGAATCACGATGCCATCATGATGTTTATAACCACGTGAAGCCAGGTATGTTCCCTAGGCCACGAGCATATTACAACTCTTTGCACATCATGCACGCAAGAGTCTCGTATGATCATGCACCAATTAAGATTTCGTCGCATATTGAATGTTAATGTACAGAACGTTGTCACGGTACAATGATCAATTGATCACATCAGTCCCATCCAACATCCGACCCCAGCATTCCCTCACAACCCGATCTAACTCGCAAAAGCATCTCCCTTTACAATTGCACTTCAACTTCGTCAATGCTCTGAACTTTTTCAGTCCTTTTCAACTCTTCGAGAACCGCGAATTCAGTGGCAATGTATACTCTTTGGATCTGCAAGAAGGTCATCTACATCACGAGGCTCGGTCGAGGGCCGAGCGCTGAGCACCATCATGATCTTACTTTAGGGAGTCAACAGTCGGGTTTCGTGCTCTATCAAATTCACATCATCTGTGTTATCACATCTAAATCATATCTCCGTGAGTCTCGGATGTCCAAGAGTTCTGCCAGATTCTGCCACCCCCCTTGCACTCGAGTTCTGCCAACAACACTATCCGGGCGAGTGACGACGAATATAACGAGACCGACGAATCTACTGAAGAGGAGAAAGTGCAAGAGGGCAATAAAATCGCTGCGCAGCATTCGCTCCTTCCAGGTACCCCAGTCTTCCGTCTTCACGGTTCCCTGGAGTCCTACACCATTCCGTCTCGCCTCTACGTCTATTCCTTCCTTAAGGTTCAAGAAATGCTCCCGCAGCCTCTCTTCTTCTTTGCAGATCTGCGGCATCCCATGGTCCTGACCTATCCCTTGTTCGCACAGTCATACAGCAAGACCTGCCCACCAAAGGTGGTGCAACTGAATACGTGTACAAGGTGTGACAGATAGCACGCGCAGGAAGGGTGAAGCTTGGAACATCGTCGCGCCCAGCGAATCCGAATGGGTGAAAAGGGTGGAGGGAGATGAAGGGCGATATGACGGAAGAAACGTCTGACGGTGACAAAGTCAACATCACTCTTGAAGGGGCAAGCATCGAGGACGTTTTGGCGAAGGGTTTTGGCGGCAAGGGCTTGGAGTACGAGGGACGTGTGACAGAAGTTCAACTTCCTTTTACACGGTGGGTTTTGCGGTGCAATGCGGTAATATTGGTTTGGAGAGGAAGTCGAGCGTGTGCTGATGTCGTCTTTGCAGTACGCTGAACTTGCTCGGAGAGTATTTACTTCTCACATGAGGGCATATGCGACCCATCCCTCAAACGAGAAACACGTCTTCCATGTCCGACACCTTCTGATTCATATCGGTCATCTCGCAAAAGCATTCGCCTTGCGTGAAGCGCCGAAGATGATTACTGACGGGAAGAATCAAGTGACCAGTGCATCCAAAGGTCGTGGCTTGTGTCCCGCTAAACCCACAAAGCAACAAGCAACAAGATGTCGGCGAACATTGTCCGTGTGCAAGGCCGGCTGTCGAAGAACCAACGAATTTCAGATTACATCAGGCGCTGCTTTGGATTTACTTGTCCATGGCAATCGATTGTAGTCCAATGGCAGGGCTTTCGGTTTCTCTATTCTATACACCACTGGTGACGTGGTGCTTTACCAGTCTATGAGATACTATACATTACGAGATGGGCGAATCATACTTGATCTAAACAGCAGATGTAAAAAATACAGTCATGTCATCAAACTATAGCTATGAGTGATTCGCGACCTCTATGATAGCGCGAACGGGCTTTTTGAACATACCATTGCTCAAGAGCTCGAGGCTAGTATCAACAATAGATCTAACGTTCGTAGGTACTTGAGATAACATTTTTCATAACAAGGAGTGGAGAACATCACGTTATCTATCGTACCACACAATATACTACGTTACTTGCTGGCACCAATGCTAATCTCGCCTGCCTGTGGCTTATAAGCACACATTGACAATGGAGTAGGATTCGAGTGCTAGCGCTGGGCTGCACGTCAACAGCTCAAGAGTCCAGACTGAATATAAGAGAGAATTCCGATGCATCATGTCATGGACTAGATATCATGGAACATAAGGCGACATCAGTTGTGGCTCCTTCGAATAGTTGAAACACGCACCTTTATGAATTTCTGCCCTTCAGATAAGATGACAAGGCAAGACTGCAGACCCTTCAAACACCACTCCATTTCCAGCCAGGGGATAGAATGATTGTTCCAAAAAGCCTGGAATATATGGTTGAGCATGTCATCCCATGGATGGGGAGCATGCGAGAGATGTACAACCCAGTTGTGACAGGCGTACTTGAGAGCGTTGGAAGCTGATTGACTTTGTTCCTGTGCTTCATTTGTGAACCTCTGAAAGGTATTCATAGCATGAATTATCTCCCTGTCTGGTAGAGGATGACTTTTTGGTAATGCAGAGGTAGAATGATGCTGGTGTCTTAATGCCAGGAAGACTGGAAACATCAAGAAATCTGGCAAGGTCTTGAACTGCTGGATTACTTGGAAAGCTGGCAGTAAAGGCACGTCGTTGATAATGATATACTCATTGGTTGCTTCCAATGTCCTCATGAATTCCTCCATTGTCACCCAAACAGAGGCAGCAGGAGTGGATTGCCATGCTTGACCATGGGGAGTCTGCAGCCAGTCTCTTCCTTTCTGGGTCAGCAGCCAGTCTTCCCCTCCTTGGGTCAGCAGCCAGTTTTGTCCTCCTGGGGTCTGTAGCCAATCTTGTCCTCCCTGGGTCTGCAGCCAGTCTCATCCTCCCTGGGTCTGCAGCCAGTCCCATCCTTCCTGGGTTTGCAGCCAGTGTTGTCCTTCCTGGATCTGCAGCCAGTGTTGTCCTCCCTGGGTTTGCAGCCAGTGTCATTCTTCTGTGATCAGTGGCTGAAATTGTCTTCTCAGGATCAGCTGCCTGAATGATTGTTCCAGCATCAGTGTTAAGAACCATGTTGCTCAAAGGGGAGAGAGACTGACTCAGAGGGGCTTGGCCTCAGCTCGTACGCTGTGCCCCTTACCCGAGTATGTGCCCTTCATTTTGTATGAGGTCCAATGATGGTCTGACAAAGTCCGGAGGACTTCTGGAGGCTGGCTACTCTGCTGGAGAGTGCTAGAGGACTTCCAGAGGAGTGTGGGAAATGTCCAGAGGAGCGTGGGAGAGTTCTGGAGGAACACAGGAAGTGCTCAGGAGAGTTCCCACTGCAAGGTAATACTTCTACAGGAAACAGGATGGAAGGATAGGAGGTCCAAAGGTCCAGAGGACAGGAGGACAGGAGGACAGGAGGATAGGATGTCTGAGGGTTAGGAGGATGGAACATCTGAAGGACAGGATGCCTGGAGGTATGAGGGACAGGATGTTCAGAGGTATGAAGGACAGGAGGATAGGATGTCTGAGGGTTAGGAGGATGGAACGTCTGAAGGACAGGATGCCTGGAGGTATGAGGGACAGGATGTTCAGAGGTATGAAGGACAGGAGGATAGGATGTCTGAGGGTTAGGAGGATGGAACGTCTGAAGGACAGGATGCCTGGAGGTATGAGGGACAGGATGTCTGGAGGTATGAGGGACAGGAGGTCCGGAGGTCTGGAAGGAATAGGGGCTACATTGGATGAAGTCCAATGTAGAAACAAACAGAGGTAGACTACCCTAAGGTAGAGTTGGAGAGACAGGGATTGGACCTAAGTCCAGAAAGAGGGTAAGTGCCGGAAAGGTGGAGCTCTGGCCTAGGGAATCAATCCCTAGGCCTGATGGGTAGGACAGACTTAGGTGGACCAAAGTCCAAGAGAGGATTGGGCAAGTCTAAGTTGATATTCAAACTAAGGAATTACAGGAGTATCTACAGGGGTTATATACTGAACAATATCTGAGGGGATCAGTAAACAAAGGAGCAAGGCTATGTATGAGCATGTGGAAACACATTAGTAAGTAAGATGGAACATAAGTAAATGAACTTGGAGATGAAGACTTGTACAAGGATCAATAAGCAAGATGGAAGAAGAGGTAACTGAGGGCTGGAAAGGTAGAGATGCCTAAATGGGGATAGGTGCAGGATCTTGGACAGAGGGTGGGAATAGGTCTGGAGTTAATATCTGGAGGTCCAGAGATCTGGGGATCTGGAAGACAAGGTGGATACAGGACCAGGATATGAGGAGGTGGATATAGTCCAGAATCTGAGATGAGGTGAAGTCCAGATGTCTTGCTGGATAGAGTGCACATAGGGTGGACAGGATAGGGTGGTGCGGATCAGGCTAGCAGTGAGGATCTGGAGGTCCAGAGCTCAGGGGTAAATCTGGAGTGGAGTCAATCCTGCTGAGGTGTGGAGCACACAGTGGAAGGGGATCTGGGAATGAGTTGGATATGAAGTGGGGTCCAGATGTAGGCTTGGAAGGCGTGGGAATATGATGGAACATGGGTCCAGATTGTGGGATATGACAATCAGCTAGAATGTCAGCCAGAATATCAACTGGAATGGTGCTTCCAGGATCTGCAGCATTTCTTCTTTCTGGTTCTGCAACTAGTATGATCTTCCAAAGTCCCACCACAAATGTGATCCTCCCTGCGCCTGTGGCAAGTCTTGTCTTCCCTGTGTCTGCAGCAAGTTTCGTACTTCTGGCTTCCACAGCCAGTCTTGTCCCTCCCAGGTCTGCAGCCAAGATTGTAAATCTGAAGTGCGATCTCCTCGGAGCCACATCATCCAGATGATAGCTGACAGTGGCTTTTGTTGCTGAACAAGGAACACTAATGAGTCTTTTAACCTATGGGGGTCCTCAGGTTGCATAACATTGCTTTGCTTCTCCAATTCTGAGAGTGCATCCAAAAGGGCTGTGCTTTCTTGAATCTCTTTCATCATCAAGTGTAGAGAGGCATCAGCAAGTAAGGAATGGGGTAATGACATGCTGTGCACTTCAGGGAGGCTGCAGTTTGAGGGGTCAGAGACATAGTCATGAATGGATGAGTGATATACATTCACAGGGAGACTGATGTCAGTAGGAATATTCATGACAGACCATAGCTGTATTAGCATTGTCTGCATGTCCCTTCCCAAACCAGGACCAAGAAGTGTTGAGATTTGCGAGATGGGAAGAGGGTCTGTGAGGGTGGCAACAATGGACAAATGCAGGTATGCCCACATGGGGTCGGCACACATGGACAGGATACAATCATATAACTTATACACCTCCATTCCTGGCAGCAGCTCACTTGTCAGCTTGAGCATCAGCTGTAACTGATCATGTGGATCCTTGTCTTCATTGTCAATAATAAACTTCATCATCATAGACACCATGATGAAACATCTACCCGCTTGGCTTGCCAGCCTCACAAGGTCAACCTCCAATGGCTGTGGGAAATTGGGATGGCAACTTTCCAGCTCTCTGAAGGAATACCACAAGAAAGTACAGATGTTGTTGTCAATGTCTGCACCATCCAACAAAATGATGCCACCCTCCCCAGAAGTTCTCATGGGTATCTCCCACACCAACAAGCGCACCTCTTTGTTCTGAAAGGCATTAGAAATATGAGATTCCGAGCAACTTGTGAACAGAATGTGGGTTATGGGAAGATCAAGCTCACAAAGAGCCTGTGCAAGGGAAAGGATGAGATTAGTGAGCTCGGGTTCAGACATGCATTCATCAAGTGCATCGACAACAAACAACAAAGGCAGACATCTGCGCAATCTGAGTTGAAGTTTCCGGAGGGGTTGGAGAAAGAAAGCCTCCATCTGGTTGCAGAGAGGTGTGTCTGGGTCTAGTAGAGTGGGGTTGTTGTGGATGGCTCTGTTCACACCTTGCTGGATACTTGGAAAATTGGTGGCAAGCTGGTAGATAAGTGTCGCAAAGAAATATCCAGCTGTACAATGTTTGGTGTGCTTGCACAAGAAAAAGAATGTTCCTGCTAGCTGCTTTTTGACATTCGTCTCTTTGGTCATTTTTAGACCTCTCATCTTCTCAGCTACTGTAAATGCAATGGCAGACTTTCCAATGCCAGCTGTGCCATGTAGCCAAATGAGTTTATTATTCTCTGTGTTGTCCAGGAATCCATGGATATGTTTGAGGAGATCCACCTGAGTCCCTTGCAAACATTTCGGGTGGGGCTGATGCTCACAGGAGTTATATTGAGCACCCTTGACAGTGACCTCAGGCAGCTTTGCCCAAGTTCCTTCAAGAACTGTTTAAGAGGTCAGAGAGCATGCGAGACTTAAGAGACAGAAGTACTGACATTGATTGCCACTCATTTGTGACGAAGGTTGTGATATGCGAGATGCAATGAACCAACTGAAAGTACTAGCCAGGTTCGAGGGTGCTGTTAGAAACCATCCAGGTGACAGTTATCTTCAGGGACAACGTACAAGGCTTTGAATCAAGGCTTGTAAGTTGTGACAAGACTTGGGTCATGAAACGATCAAACTGTTGAGCGATGGAAAGAATGAAGTGTGATGGAGATGGGATGGATGAACGAATGTTTTAATCTATTTTGTTATAACAAGCTCATGCGATGGTTGTGGAATGCAGTTGAAGGACAAGTGAGTGGGTGCTTGTCTGATTGCACATATGAGGATGTACACAAGGTTGCTGTGCATGCCAACATTATTGCTAGCCAGTCAGCATCTGCTACTGCACAGCCAGTCAGAATGACATGTAGCCTCCAGAAATTGAGAGAGATATTAGGAGTTGTGATCTAGTGTGGGCAAGGTGCAAATAGTACTTGAATTCGAGTACTAGGCTGGTCATGAGTCTAGGATTTGAGCTTGACTGGACAATTAGCTCTATAAGATGTACATTTGAATTGATGTCTACAATACAGTGGCTCAAAAACTGTCCGCATGTCTTGACATTTTTCACTATCTATGATATTGGATGAGAACTCACAAATGCCTCAAGGACATGCTTATACCACATTGTAGTATGGCTTCAGGGCAGAGAGGACTAGCACCCTTCTTGTTTCACATATATACCTTGCCATCTGACCCAATCCTATTTATTGTGGTCTTATATGATCATATAACATGCTTCCAGTCCATGTAATCCAATTCTGATGGGCTAAGGCAAAGGTTAGTCATCTCTGTTTATGTGTGATAGAGAGGAGAGCCTTTTCTTCCTTGTTACTGACCTGAGATGAGCTGTCTTGAGAATGTTTCTCACAGTGTGTGAAGAGACAGGGAATGTGATGGTGGAATTGATGTAATAGGTGACCTGGACAGCATTATCAGCCTTTCCTGTAGTGATATGTTGAATAATAGCCCTCCTATCAGTAGAGATGAGCTTGGATGGACACCCTTCACAGAAGTTTTCCTTGTCTGTGTGACTTTCTTTGATGAACTTGGCCACAGTGGACTTGCATACTCCAGTTCTAGAGGAAATTTGACAAGCAGAGAGGCCAGAATAGGAAAGAGAGAGGATATTATCCCTTTGAGCAGGGGGGGTGGCTTTCATGGTGAATATAACCATGACATATGGAAATTTTTGGTTTGTATAGTTAGATATGGTTTTAAAATGAACATAATGACACCACTTTATAATTTATTTAATGGTGGCATGATTTTTATGGTGTCATAAATGATGATTTATATAGTTTTAATATGTGCTCAAAAAACTGTCTGCATGAGTCATGGTTTTGTAAGCCTTGTATCTCCACCATATCTCACCGATTCCCACGTGTAGGGCTCAAATGAAAGCCCTGAAGCCATACTACAATGTGGTATAAGCATGTCCTTGAGGCATTTGTGAGTTCTCACACAATATCATAGATAGTGAAAAATGTCAAAACATGCGGACAGTTTTTTGAGCCACTGTATATGTTGAAGTTTCTGGATGAGCATTGAGCACCATGTAGGGTCCACTGTATCACAGCATGAATTTGGTGACACAGTTGTTGCCTTTTTGGATGTACTCTCGACAATGGTGTTTGGTTGCAAGCAGCACCTGATCGCCCGTTTTGAAGGTCATAGGCAGCGCCTGATGCTTATTGACCTGTGTAGCTTGGGC